TCAAATTTCATCTAATTCAGTCTTTTACCCTTTCCCCCATGTCCATCCCTGAATTCTTGTTCCAATAGCGATTTCTTTAAATCTTACTTGTAAAACCCCCCTTTTAGCACACAATTATATGTAGTGCTTGTAACAATCAACTTTTATTTTGTATTATATTTTTAATCTTGTAAATGCTATTTAAGTTTCTAAGTGTTGTTTACCTGTAGATACACACTTAGATAAGCTCTTTGAGGATAGAACCTTCTGGGAATTAACCTTAATTATCACCAAGTATACACTTCATACCTACGTATGTGTCTAATGAATGTTTGTTGAATTAAAGAAAGAATTAATCACAGATACATAGTTTAAGATGTTAAGTAGCCCTACCTTCTTTTGTTGTCGATTTTGCAGATATGATTTTTATAAATACATTTCTTGATGTGACCTCTTAGTTCTGAACTTCAGTTTTTACTATGTGGGTTGAGAGAGTTATAGTAGTTTGATAGTAGTTAATATTTATATACCTATATAAATATATATATATTTTAATATTTATAGTTAATATCTATTTATCATAGTTAATATTTTTAGTTAAGCATTGTAAGTACAAGGTAAAAGTTGTTTTAGGACATAGACAGGGGGTACTGTCTACAGTACCATCTCTATAAGTAAAGAAATGCATTGTCCTTCAGGAAAAATCTTATGTCTCTGAATTGATCATTACAAATAATTTCTTTTATCTGGAATGAAAAATAATTAGTTCTAGAGTTGTAACAATTGGACAACTAAGCCTAGTAACATTTTTTAATTGCTTGCTTGTTTTCCTGGAAACATCAAAGAGAAGGGGAGAGGTTAAGAATTAGGAAAAAGTGCTATCATTTATGCCTCATGATACAGTGAGTACTCACCACGGGGCACTACTTGATAAGCTTTGAATGTCCGTTGGCATCAAAGTACTTTTCATTTTAGGAAACCATCCCCAAAGGAAAGTACTTAAAGTAGGGGGAGATTTGAGAAGATTGAAAATGGTTAAATGTGGGATGAGGTAGGTTATAACTGCTGAACCTTCCTCTACTTTGATTGCTCTGCTCTGTGCTATCTCTATAAAGCAGTATGTCATCTCTAGCTGCAGAGAGCAGATTCATACATATTTACCAGTTGCAAATTATAAATGTGCAGCCCAGAGAGAAGCAGTGTTCTTTGTCTTCCTGCTTTTCTTCCTGCACTAATGATTCAAACACTCTTTAACATATCCAGAATTTGGAGGCTGGTTTTGTAACTTGTCATTTCCTTTGTATGCCCATGAAGTCTTTGTAATTTAAATGGACTCTTATTTTACATTTTGGAGCTTCCATGTTGGTGAACTGAGGTTTCCTCCATCCTGTGTCGGGACTTTGATATAATGATTTATTAAGGCACTAGGAGAAATATTGATCCTGCTAATAGCTTCTGCCTTGCCACATAATGTTTTACATTTTACTCAGCTGAAAGACTATATTCCCTTTCTCGTCATCTGATTGACCATAAATACTTTGGCCTTTTCCTCTGCAATTATCTCACTTACCAAAGCAGTAGGAAAAAGTCAAGTATTTATAGACTAATTAGTGAAGTCAACACATCTAAGTAGAGTACTTTATATAATATTGAAGAAGTATTGTACAGTACTGTGAAATTAGCAGCTAGGTACAAGGCTTTGCCTTTTAAGCAAAGGTTGAGAACACAAGTGGTGGAGTACACATATACTACTAATGGCAGCTGGCTTTTGTGTGGCGAGTAGAACACGTTATGATGTTGTAATAATAATACTTCTCCTCTATAACTACTCTCCTTGATCCTCACTCTTGTTTCAAAGTTTGGGATATTACTGGTTTCCAAGTTTATTCTAGATTCGTTTTTTAGAGGTTGGTACCTCCAGATCCCTGTGGATGGGACTATATCATTTAACATTTGGATTCTTGGGTAGAAAGACACAGTAATAATTTATGTATGATTTTGTTATCTATAAAGCTGCTTTGGTTATCAAATTTTATTATCCAAGTTATAATTGTCCTAATTTTGAGAATAAGAAAAGTGTTGCTGGTGTAACAAAGTGTACCTGTTAACCATTTGTATTTCTTCTTTGGAAGAATGTCTATTCAAAATGTCTAGTCTTCTACCAAGTTTTTAATCAAATTGTTTTCTTTTTTGATCCTATTGACTTACATAAGCCCCTTAAATATTATGTCTGGGAGTCAAAAGATCTAGTTTAGTTTCTAGTCACTGTGTACCCAGGTTCTTTGGATACTAATTTCATCATTTTATTGGTCATTTCATTATTGTATTTTATTTATTAGATATAAAAAATTACCAAAAAATATGATTATTGTCTAATTACTCTGTAAATGGTACAGTGCTCTGGATAACCATGTCTCCCCGCCGCACCCCCCACTTTATTGAGACATTGTTAACATAAACTTTTGTAAGTTTAATGTATAAAGCAAAGCATACAACATGATGTTTTGACACACACATATGCACTCATATATATTGTGAAATGATTATTATGTAAGATCTATTCTTATCAATTTTCAACTATATAATACATCATTGTTAGTCATCAATATGCTCTATATTATATGCCCAGAGCTTATTCATATTATAGATCGAATTTTTTACTTTTTGACCAACATGTCTCCATTTCCCTACATCTCTGCCCTAGCAACCAGGACTATACTCTCTATTTCTATGAGATCAACTTTTATAGATTCCTCATGTAAGTGACTACATGCAGTACTTATCTATCTTTGACTTACCTCACTTAGCATGACCTGAAGGTCCATCTGTGTTGTCATAAAAGGCAGAATTTCCTTCAATTTATGACTGAATAATATCTGTTTAATATTAATATTTATTAATATTAAATTTTTTAAATGTTTAATGTTTAAATTTAATAGTAAAATTAAATATATTTTGCAATATAGTTGCCAACACCTTTTCTTTCTTGCCTTTTTGGAATAGCTGTTCTCACAAATGAGAGGTGAAGTCCCATTGTGGTTTTGACTTACATTCCCCTGTTGACCATTTGCATGTCTTTGGGAAAATGTCTGTTCATGTCCTCTGCCCATTTTTTTCATCAGTTTGCTTGGGATTTTATTTATTTATTTATTTTGGCTATTGAGTTATATGAACTTGTTATAAGTTATAGTTTTTAAACCCTTCCATAAACATGGCTTGCAAATATTGTCTCCCATTCTGGAGGTTGCTGTTTAATTTTGCTGGTTGCTCCTTTTACTATGTAAAAATCTTTTGATGTTGATTTTTGCTTTTGTTGCTTGTGCTTTTGGTATCACATCCAAAATCTCATTGCCAAGATAAATGTCAAAGCTCTCTTTTCCCTATGTTTTTAATCTAACTGTTTTACAGTTTCATGTTTTCCACTTAAGTCTTTAATCAATTTTCAATTAATTTTTGTGAGGAAGGGAGTATAGGAGACTAGTTTCATTTAATTATTATTTTTTTTCCATGTGAGTGTTTAGTTTTCCAAGCACCATTTATTGAAGAACTTGTCCTTTCTCCATTGTACAGTCTAGGTACCATTATTGAAAATCATTTGGCTGTATATACAAGGATTCATTCTTGAACTCTTTATTCTATTCCATTGGGTTATATATCTGCCTTTATGTCAGTACCCTACTACTTTAATTACTGTGATGAGTTTTGAAATCAAAAAGTATGAAACTTCTTTGTTGTTTATCAGGATTGTTTTGACTATTCAGAGTTCCTTTATAATTTAGGGTTTGGGCCTCCCCAGTGGCGCAGTGGTTGAGCGCTGGGTTGCCAAGCTGCCCTCAGCCTCTGCAGCGCAGGTTTGATCCCGGCTGCTCCCAGGCCACCAGAGGAGGGTCCCACATGGCGCGCAGACCTCTCCTGCCGCCCGCTGCTCCCCTCAGCAGTGTACTGCGGTCCTTCTGCCTGCTCTGCTCCCTGCTCTGGCTCTGGTGAATTCTCTCACCCTCCCGAGCTTCTGACTGTACCCAGTGCTTGTATAAACAAACAAACAAACAAACAAACAAATAAATAAACAAATAAATAAATAAATAAATAAATAAATCTTTAAAAAAAATAAAATTAAAAAAATAAAATTTAGGGTTGAATTTTCCATTTCTGAAAAAAAAAGCCAATGGGATTTTGACAGGGATTGCATTAAATCTGTTTAGTATCATTCTGTATGGTATTGACATTTTTACAATATTAAGTCTTTCATTACATGGACTTGGGATTTCTTTCCATTTATGTGTGTCATCTTCAGTTTCTTTTATCAATATCTTATAATATTCAAAGCATAGCTCTTTCATTTATTTGTTTAAATTTATTCCTATCTATTTCATTATTTTTAAATATTATAAATGGGTGTTTCCTTTATTTTTTGTCAGGTAGTTTGTTGTTATTGTGTAGACACACAACTGATTTTTATATGTTGATTTATATCCTGTGACTTTACAATGAATTCAGTTATTATAACAATTTTTAGCATAACTCTATTTTGTCATTTATAATTATATAAAGGGTAGATAAGTTTCCTTTTGCGATAAGTATAGATAGAAATAGGATTTCAGTCAGATTCTATTAAATTAATAATGTTGTTTTCTGTGTAGACCTGTTTTATTCCTTCAGATTAGATGTTAGCTGGATCATATACACCTGTCTTTTTGCATCCTATACACATTTTGAAAGGGTTAGGAAATGTCTTTGGAATCGCCAAAGGATATTATGGAATCTCTTTGGAAATAACACTGGGATGCCTCATTATCCTGGACCCATCTGTGATTATTTGTTTTTTCCCCAAGTGGCATTAGAACACTTGGGCAGACACTTTGTGTATTCATACAATATTCTGGGCTACAGTGGAAACAACGTAAGCCTATAGTTCAATCTATCTGCCTTGAGTAAACTTTATCTGCCTGATTTATGCCATGCTTTTTGTTTGTTCATTATCCTGCACTTCCTTTAATTTCTCTACTTGTCATTATCTGCAGGAACTTACAATTTGTAAAACCAGAAACCAAGACAAACCTGAATCATACAAATGACCTCAATGGGAAAGGAGGCAGATATGTTTAAGTGAGCCAGCTTGAAGGAGTTGGTGAGTATTTTGACCCTAGTGAAGTGTGTATGAACTTGCCATTTTGGACCTGGTTATCAGAGCAGCCAAATATCAAGTCCAGTCTGTCTTGTGAGGTAGTATTTTTCCTTGTTTGTTTGTTTTGTTTAGTTTTAGCAAATTGAAATAGTTGGATCATGTTAGTCACTTCCATAAAAGTTAATGTCTTTTGCCTTGACTTCTTCATGTATTATGCAGTGCAAGTTTCTGCATTCAGCATATAGACATTATAAGGACAGCTGTGTAATCCTAAGCAAATTGAACAATATTTATGTTCAATTGTGTTTCCATCTTTCATTTTTACGTGCCTTTCCCACCTGGTGCCCCTCTCACCTGGCTTGAGTTGTCCACGTGTCTCAGGTTGCCTCTGACTGCCCACAGTTCCAGGTTTGTTTCAGGACTTTTCCAACCCCCAACCTCACTTCTTTACCTCTCCCTTACAAAATACACCCTGCTCCAAAACCGTCTTCAATGCTGTATTATTCTAAACGCCCATTTTCTCCTCTTCTTATGACAATAAATTGAGGGAAAGTAATATAATTTATCTAATCCACAATAAGGTAGCTATGACCATTGAAGTACTTCCCTTAATTCTACTGGTGGTTGCATTTCCATTGTAAATGAGGATGATATTCTTCACATATGGTATATATTTGGATAAACAATAATTTATTCATTCATTAGTTCAATAGATAACTGAATGACTAGTCTTACCTTCATGTATAATACAGACAAAGGCTTATGTGGTAAGGAAGATCTTTGGGTGTGGGCTGATTCTGGATCCAAAATTATAACATAGCCTTGTCATACATCAGACTTATTTCTTGATTCTACTTTTTAGAGCCAAACTGGCCATGATTTGACTTATGCAAACTGCCCCCCGACAAGTAGGCATCATGATATTAGGTGCAATTTCTTTATTTATTAAACAATTTAATTCACTGAGGTAACCCTGGTTTACAACACCATATGTTTTAGTAGTGTAAGTTCACAGCTCTCCAAATGTATGTTGCCTCACCACACCCACATCAAAGTACCAGTAACCCTCCACTGCAGTCCACTGGACCCCCTCCACCCTTTGCTCCTACACACCTCCCCCTCTGATAACATTTGTCCTATTGTCAGAATCCAAAGCTTTGTTTTGTTTTGGCCTTTACTGTTCCTTTGATTTGTTTTTTTACATTCCACATATCAGTGAAATCATCAAGTATTTGTCTTTCTTCTTCTCACTTATTTCACTTAGCAAAATCCCCTCTAGTCCCATGCATGTGTTTGCAAATGGCAAGATTTCCTTTTTATATATATATATATATACACACACACACATTTCCTTTTATATATATATACATATACACATATGTATATATGTGTATTTATATTTATGTAGTATTCCATATATATATATATATATATATATATATATATATCTCACATCTTCCATTCACTCATCTGTCCTAGGCATTTAATTTGTTTCTATAACTTGGCTCTTATAAAGAGTATTGTAATGAACAAGAAAGATATATCTTTTTGTATTAGTGTTTCTATATTCATTAAATATCTAGGAGTAGAATTGCTGGGTCATATGGTATATCCTTTTTAATATTTTTGAGAAACCCCCCTATTGTTTTCCATAGGGGTTGGACCATTTTATATTCCTCACCAGCCCTTGTTGTCGCTGGCTTTTTTGGTATGGGCCATTCTCAGAGGGCTGGGCTGGTATCTCATTGTGGTTTTGATTTGCATTTCCCTGATAGTAGGTGATGACAAGTATGCTTACATGTTCCTGTTTTTCATCCCTGTGTCTTCTTTAGAGAAGTCTATTTGGTTCTTCTATTGATTTTTTTTTTTTGATTGGGTGATTTGTTTCAGTTCCATATATATATATATATATATATATATATATATATATATATGGATATATATATATATCTTGGATATAAACAAGATGTATGATGTACAAATGTTTTCTCACATTCAGTAGGTATCCTTTTGGTTGAGTGATAGTTTCTTTCACTGTGCAGGAGCTCCTTTGTTTATTGCAGTGTTGGGTACAATTTGAACGTATTAAGATACCAAATATTCCTGTGCTTTGCAGCCATCCTGTGATCAAATGCAATCATCACTGTTGCAGGGATTTCAGAGTAAGTGGGAGGAGGAAGAACAGTTACAGAGATGAGATGAAGAAAGCTGGGGCGTGGAGATGCAGCAAGAAAAAGGGAAGAGAAAGTAGAGCCAGAAGAGTTGAATTATTCAGCCTTCAAGTCCTCTTGTGACCCTAGGATTCTGTGTTGCAAATGAGAAAGAAAAAGAGGGGAAATAATAAATGGAATGGATGGGAGAGGGGAAGGCTCTGGGACTACAGTCAAAGGCTGCCAGGTCATTAAATATGTTTTGATGTGCTGTTTACCTCCTGTAGCAGAGGCGATCCTTTTCTATGACTTCTAGGAATTTCAAACATCAGTCAGCATGTGGCCTCCCTTTCACAACATCAGAGAACATCTCCCATGGTGAGACTGAGGCTGTCAATAAATACTTCAGCATTTTCTTTTTAAGCATTTGCTTTCCTAAGCCAAAACCCTCAAAGAGAGTTGGTAAAAGATCAGAAATCTCTTGGGGAGGCAGGGCTTAAAGGTCCCTGCTCCTTCTTGGCAAGGGCTGAAGATAACTCAGGCACCAAGGAATCGGGTGGAGACAGGGCACACCCAACAGGGTATTGAAATACAGAGAAGCTGAGAACAAAACCCAACTCCATATAAAACAAAGGTTTTATAAACTGAAGAAGCCAGAGGAAGGCAGGTTTTAAGTGTCTGTGAAGAGAATTTAAACATACTAAGCCTGTTTTATACACATCGGCCAAAATAACCTCACCCTAGCAGAGACAGTGCCCATGCATGGTGGGTTGAGCCCCTCCCTTCCTGCCTGGGAGAGGTTGGCTTTTGGATTTTGGGGGAGCTAGACAGAAGCCTGCAGTGGGTTGGAGCAGCCTCCGGGGCAGTGGGCATGATGATGACGATTGCCATCATGATATTAGGTGCAATTTAAATGGTGCTAAGATACTAAATGTTTCTTTGCTTTGCAGCCATCCTGTTATCAGATGCAATCATCAACTGTTGCAGCTTATTAAACCTGTTACTATCAAATTTGACTAAGTTGTAATGGACCTTTTAAGATAAAGAAACATTTTTGGTATATTAAAATGCTTTGTAGTTTTAAAAGGTCAGTTACTTCCCAGAGCAGAAATATACCATGTAATTTTTAGAAGATAAATAATCTCCAAACTTAATTTGATTGCTCCATTTTGATGTCGCCCCATGGACAAATATCAGCTATGTTGTATGTTAGGTGCGTTATGCCTGGACAAGCATTTAAGAACGCCTTTCCGAGGAGATTATATCTGCAATTTTGATCTTATTTGAAAATGCCAAGTGGAAACAAACTTTGGATTGTGTGTCTTTTAAGAGTTATCTGAAATTTCTATTTAAAAAGTTTTTCAAGTTGTTAGGGTATTTGAAGAATGTTGCTGGGATACAACACCATTACACTAGGGATTTACTCTATAAATATGGATGGTGTGTGGTAAACCTTTAAGCAATTAAGAGTCATATTTTGTAATGTGACACCTTGCCTTAATAACATGAAATGGTGATTTAAATAATTTGCAATACCTCAAAAGGTTCATGAGACTGAGACCATGAACTCTTTCTGTGTAACAGAGTATGAAGTACAATTCTTGTGCTTGGTTCAAGTATCCTGAAGACCAATAGCTTTTAGGGTTTTGGCAAGCAGGAGAAGAATTGTACTTTTTAAAGCTAAACATTATGGTAAGAAAGTTACTTAACCTCTTTGAGGCTCTATTTTCTAATATTTCATGAGATGACTGGTTGTAATTTATTTCTCATAGTTTTATGGTGGCACTTATAGCAGTGGAGTGGCATCTAATTTCAAGCAGGGATTAGAGATCATTTTATATGCAGCCAGTAAAGGATGAGAGAGCAAAGGGTTGTATTGCCAAAGTCATGCCCTAAATTTCCCATAAAGAACAGCAAACATGGTCCTCCTCTGCCTATTTGTACCATTCCTTGGATGTCCTGGAAAGCCTATTTTCTCACCGGCAGGAAACTTACTGCTGATGATAAGCCCTGGAGGGAGACATCATGTTGTATGAAAAGTCACAAATGGTGGACCCCACTTGCGTGGGATCCCTAGTGGCACACCTTTCATCGTCAGTATTAACTTCCCTCCACACTGCCCCTAGTGTCTTGGTAACAGTTTTCTTGGTCCAATAGAACATGGATGTGAGATTCAGTTGCTTTTTAAGGCCTTAATCACTACTAGAGTTCAACTGACGTGAACGGTACTGAATCCCAAGATGCTAGAAATGGGTTATTGTGAGATTATCTTCATTTTCATTAGATTCTGAGGAGGAGACACATGAGAATTAAGCTCAGAGCTTCTATACATTTGCAAGGTGCAGAGGAACATCCTCTAGAATCCACTGATACACTTAGTATATTTTAGGTAATGGCAGATTTAAGCAGTCTTTAAAAAAGCATCACCTGAAAAGGCGTGCATGGCAGTTGCGTAGGTTATTTTTCCTTGAAATATCTTTGATCATAGTGAAACACAAAACATATGTTTTTATGAAGTCAGAGTATGCACTGAAAATGTAAATGGAGTTAGAGATGAATTAATGTTATTTTTCTCAGCTTTGGGTTGAATAGAGGGACTAGCAATTTTTTTAAAAGAAATGTTTTAAAAAACTTTAGCAGTTAATGTTTTGCTGTTCTTGTCCAAATGTGGGTTTTTAGTGACTAGGCAAAAATGCATGTCTCAACTACTGAATTTTCAAGTTTCCATTTACAAGATAGAGTCATTAAAGATGAAAGCATTACTGGAGACTATTTCATTCTTATTCAGAATAAATTCAGTGTGGCTAGTGTTACAGTGGACCAATCGGTATACGTGAGAAACTCTCTTAGTCA